AGTATCAGGAGACTTAAACGCTACAGTGTTAGTTCTAACACGCGGCTACAGTGTTAGTTCTAACAAGTTAGTTCTAACACGCGGCTACAGTGTTAGTTCTAACACGCTACAATGTTAGTTCTAACAAGCTACAGTGTTAGTTCTAACACCGCGGCTACAGTGTTAGTTCAACACGCTACAATGTTAGTTCTAACAAGCTACAATGTTAGTTCTAACACGCGGCTACAGTGTTAGTTCTAACAAGTTAGTTCTAACACGCGGCTACAGTGTTAGTTCTAACACGCTACAATGTTAGTTCTAACAAGCTATAGTGTTAGTTCTAACACTTGGCTACAGTGTTAGTTCTAACAAGTTAGTTCTAACACGCGGCTACAGTGTTAGTTCTAACACGCTACAGCGTTAGTTCTAACACTGTAGCGTGTTAGAACTAACACTGTAGCGTGTTAGAACTAACATTGTAGCCCCGGCGTGTGTTAGGAAGCTAACTTTTTTTTTTGCAAAAAAACATTTTTTCCCTTAGCTCCTCTCCTATCCGGGCTCTGTTTTCTCAGTACTGAGTAAAAGGGGAGAGAAGAGTTTATATGAGTGACGTAGTAGTCCAGCTACTTAATTGTAGGCGTGGGTTGAGTGATCGAGATATATATTACCTCAATCTCTGGATTAAGTTTATATGATGTAGCTCAGCGTTTTTGGGACACCACAGTTGCAGCCAATAACTGGAAGGTACCTTTCAATCCAGGCACAGTTCTGTAATGAGGTTGTTGGTTAGGCTGTAAGGATGTCTAATGATCTCCGTGCTTTGCATTATTCTTCACATTTGTTTCTTTCTTCAGGTTGCGCCATCATCCTGACATAGTTGTTTGCTCTGGTTAATGGCAGCTATAGGCGCCAATAGCAAGAGTCTCAAGTCAGACGTCAGTCGAGACGCGGAGTAAGGGGACGACGGCGGAGTCTCTCGCGACAAGGTCGGGTGGCAGGGAGAGGAGGGGAGGCGGCGGCCGAACTCTGCGGGAGGCTTGGGAGCCTGGGCGGAGGTGGCGACGGCGAGGAGGGCGAGGGCCAGAGCGACGAGCTTTAGAAAGCCCTTGTTTTTAAAGAGAGAGAGGGGGGGAGAGAGAGAGAGAGAGAGAGAGAGAGAGAGGGAACTGGGTTTGAAGGATTGAGAAGAAGAGATAAGGTTATTTTGGGGATTTTAGCTTAGTTGGCATGTAATAATTGTTAAAAAAGGGCTGCAGCACAAAATGTCACACTTCAAGGGGCTGAACCACATGGGAAAAGCTAGGAGGGACTGCAGCACATGAAGTTTCTGTTTTTGGGGCCTGGACACATTTTTCCCTAAAATATATTGTAAATAAAATGTTACACTATTAAGTTTATATAATTATAAGTGTTATAGTATTCCTGCCCATGGACATACGGCGTATTGGCAAATAAACAGATGTATTCTTATACGTCTTGCCCCGCTTAACTGGATGGCCCAGATCCCCCAGAGTCTGACTCAGTCGATTCGTTAAGTCAACATTTTTCCATGCCGACACGAAAGACGGTGCTAGTCGGTCCTCTAGTCCTGGACGGTTCGCCAAGAGTCTACTCGACTACTTGTCCAGAACACCTCTTGAAACCGCCTCAAAACGGCGTTACTTCTCAACGAAGCTATCCTCACTGGCTACATGTCCGCATCACATTTAATGCATGACAAACACATTATTTCTCTGGCCCCGATAGTCTTCATGACTCATCGGACCACGTGGGCCAAACC